TTGCCCCCCCCCGCCCCCAAAAAAAGCCCCTCCCCAGCTTTCTTGTAGCCCCCTTGAGATACTGGAAGCCACAATAAGGTCTCCTCGGAGCCATCTTTTCTGCAGACTGAACAACTCTCAGTCTGTCTGCACAGGAGAGGTGCTCCAGCCCTCTGATCATCCTCATGGCCCTTCTCTGGACATGCTCCAGCACATCCAGATCTCCCCTGTGCTGTGGGCTCTGGAACTGGACGCAGCACTCCAGGTGGGGCCTCACAAGAGGAGTAGAGGGGGAGAATCACCTCCCTTGACCTGCTGGCCATGCACCTCTTGATGCAGCCCAGGATATGATTGGCTTTCTGGGCTGCAGGTGTGCACTGACTGCTCATGTGTTGTGGGTTAGTACTGTGTATATACATATATCAGCAAAATTTATTCTTTCTTAGTCCTGTAGCAATGAGAAGGACAAGGTCCTATTTCTTGGATATAAGGTTAATGAATTACACAACAGGAGTGGGTAATTAATCCCCTTAAATCATTGTGTATTAGCTGAAGTTTCATTTCTGCCTTTGTCTTCTCTGAGATCTTAACCCTGGTAACTCTTAGGACGTGGGAGTGAGGATGAGAAGCTCTAGGTGACATGTGCTTTTCAGCTCAAATTTTTCTGGTTTTTGTTCTTACTCGTTTTCTTCCAGATAATAGGGCAAAAAAAAGAAGAAAAAAAAAGAAAAAGTTTCTGGGTTTTTTTTTAAGCTGTTCCTAGTTATTTTAAGCAATACAGCAACTGGGAGAAATGTGGTGGGTTTTCCTACTGAATAATACTACCAGGTACTAGAGGAAAGGAAATATGAGCAGAATTCGTTCTTGCTGTTGTGTACAATGTACTTCCTACACGTATGTTTCAGTTCTCTAACTGAATACAGATTGAGATGTAACCGTTCAAGGAAGATCCTTAAAAATCTGTCAGATGCTAGAAAGCTGCTGTTTCAAAATAGTATCTAAAAAGATATATTTGTTTGGCCTCCTAACTATCCTTTAAACCTGAGAAAGTCAGTATCTCTTGTATTACAGGGTGTGTATCAGAACACGACTTTGGTGTGCTGGGTCAAATGACAAGAGGTGTAGTGTGCTGCGGGGCCAAGAAATGTGCTGCGGCAGGAGCCCTGTCCTTAGCCTGGCAAGCAGCTTGCTGTAGACTTTTGTTCTGTTTACATTTCTGCAGGACTGAAGTTGTATAATCCTGTTTCAGCTGCGGCCATGATGGGTCAGGCTGAGCTGAGGAATTCTTGAAATACAAGTTTGTATATTTTTAGTATTGTGCTAAGACTAGGTTGTGGAGCAAGTTTCCATCAAAGACCAGCTGAGTGAAAGCTGAAGCAGTGTGAATAGCTAAAGTCATCTTCATTGCACCCAAACTTTCTGTATCATATTTTTACTTAAGACAGAGTTTAATTTGCTTAATACCCTGTATTATTTATGACTTCAAGTTGGCCCTTGTTCTCTGTGTAAAACACAGGTTATGCACTTAATGCCTTGTTTTCCTTGGTGCTCTTGGAGCGGCATGCTTCTGTGTAAGCTTGCCAAAAGTGAATCTCTTGTTCAGCTGTCTTTCAGATTCATGCACTTCTAGTTTCATTTGTGTTAAGCAGTTAACTGAGAAAATAATTATATTGAAAAAGTATTTAGTCTAAATGATGATGTGTTTGTTTTTCAGGGACACCTGGTATTAAAATTATCATGCCTGCACTGTCTCCTACAATGGAAGAAGGAAACATTGTGAAATGGTTAAAAAAGGAAGGTAAGGTAACATTTTCTGTGGGGACATTTGTTGTAGTTCTTCAGCTGTATAAATCTGTTCTGTACCGATAGGATCATTCGTTCTGGTTGTACCTCAGTGTTTGGAAGCTAAGTGTTTGGTATGTAGATGCTGTCTTCTCCAGCGATACATACTTTTTGAAATTGTTGGGTTTTGAAACATTTTCCTTTAATTGTCTTCCAAAAGGTTACATTTATCATAATTTTGAAAAAATTCCATTAGACTTTTCCAGGATATGAGTGTGTCTGTGTTGTTTTAATTCCAGGTATTGTCGTGCTGATCAATAACTTTGGATGTCTGAGACCCTTTGAGGAGAGTTTCTGTTCAGCATTCTGCTATGTTAACAAATAACATGAAAGACATGGGATTTTAATAGTGGCTATTTAGGGCTTGTGCTTTTTTAATATTTAAATTATAGTCTACAATTGAAGTTAATAGAAAAATTAAACTACATTCATAACCTAAATTCCAAATCTATCAAAACCTAAACTAACCCAAACCAAAAAACAAACTACTACTCAAAAAACCCACTGTAACAACCTTGGTTATCTTGGGTTCCCTGTGGTCCGTGTTGGAGATTAAAATAGTTTGCTTGTAGAATATTAGAATTAATTGTGGGATTGCTTAGAATTATGATGAACTACAGTTTGTTTTGCCTTACGAGTTACATTACTTAGCATGAGGAGCCAGATTTACTGAGGCCTTAGGCCCAGAGTGCAGACTTTCTTCCCAAGTGCTGAGTAGCTGAGGCTGAAGAAACACCTGGAAACCAGTGCTCATCGAGAAAGATAAGATCAGCAGAAACTGCACCCTTGAGATGAAGGAAAGAACACACACCTGCAGAGAGAGGAGAGGTCCAGTGAGGAAGGAGAAGATTCCAGGCCCAAATATTGCTATTGGACCCAACTGTCGTGTAAGGAGAGGTGAACTTGAGTTGTCAGGGTATAATTGCCCAAGGAGTTCTTTATTCAGGGTCCCACTCCGAGGGTCTCGGCTCGAGCTGAAATAACCTGACCCTGGGGCAGAACCCAGAGTCTGAACTCTTCTTTACAGTTGGGAGTTAAGACTGGATCCAGCTGCACAGTGATGCCTCTCTGTGAGGAAGCTTAGAAAGCAAGAGAGTCCAGTCTGAACCTCTCGAGTCAGCAGGAGGATCTTTCCAGATCCTTTTCTAACACTGACAACTGAGAAGTAATGTCTTTCTGTTAAAATGTGTTGGGTGAGCTAGATAAATAGCTATGTTTCGTTTTCATGTAGGTTGTATATAAATGAAAAATGATCTGCAGAAGAACTGGCAGTCCCTGTGCTTACAGGAGACTTTTCTCACCTCACCTTTCTCACCCTTTCCCCTCTCCAGTTTAGCAGTAAAGCTGGATTTGAACTGTAGTTCTGAGTTCCAGGTAGCAGTTGTCCATTGTTATAGGATGCATTGCAGAGTTTCTGATGACTGTAGGAAAGTGTCTTGTCCTTGGACAGTTTAAGATTTGGTAAAGAAATAAACACGTTTGGAGAAAAGAAAATCTCTTTAACACGTATTATCTTTGACAGGCACAATGTGGTGAACTGAACGTGTGTTTTGACTGTGTTGTCTAGATAAGCCGTTTCCTTTGGCTTACCTTCGAAGGGTTGGTACCACCTTCATCATTGTGTTACTGTAATACTTTGCTTTTATACATTTCAAATAGGTTTTGAGAGGTGGCCAGAGGGCAGCTTGTCGCTCCAGTAGTGGACCTTTCATTTGTAGAACTTCTATTAAGAGTTTCTGCAGAGTTTACTGGGAACACAATGGCAGAGTATGTCTGTAAAAAGTAATTGCACCAATGTTCTTGAAATTTGAAGCTTTGGTTAATCAACTCTCAAGTCTGAGATTATGCAGAGAGAACGGAATGATCCAGTGTCCTTTTTCTCTTTATTAGCTGTCAATAACTGTAAAGCATTTCAAATCAACAGTAGTCTGGTTTACAGTAAATACAACATTCAAAATTGCAAGAGAAAGCCAAGAAGAGAGCATTATAGAAGTTGAAGTAGGTTCCAGTTTGCTCCCCAGCATGAATGAGTCAGTTTTTCTCATAAAAAGGTTGTGGGACACAACAGCTATACAGTGCTTTTTCTCGGTCTTTCTGCTGCTCTTACAGCCCAACACAGAAGGGAAAAGAAAGCTCCACCCCTATTTTAATTTAAAATAACATCTGAATTGATGGTGGTACAGAGAAAAGTATTTTAGGGTTTTCATTGCTCTATTTTCTATATAAACAAGGCCAAAACTGAATGTAGGATATTGTCTTATTTGGCACATCTGTGACCATGATGAGTTCCTACAGGTATGTTTTTTCCTCTGAGCATCTGGAAAATAAACATAACGTTAGGGCTGCGCTGGCCACTCAACACTGACAGATACTCTCTGACCGCTCTCGCTCCCCGAGTGGCAAGAGAAAGGGAATGAGGCAGAGAGACTTAATGGATTGGGGGAAAAACCCCCAAACCTAAGGCGACTTTATTAAAAAAAAAATAAAAATAACGCATTAGATACAAAAGTGATATTGACATGTTTTTCCCACGGCATGACCAGCAGGGGTCAGTAGAATACTATTTTAATTATTTTTCTGCTCTTCGTGTAAGTCGCACGTTTTCGTTTTAAGGTTTCCCAGGATGGATAGATGACTTTGTACCGCAGGAAGAAAAATGCAGAATTTAATTGACAGCTTTACCATTTCCCTCTTATTGTTAATGCAGTTTCATATTGATTCCTGTGGGTAATAAAGTTGTTCTCATAAAAAGAAAACTGCGTTTCTGAAAGCTTACATTTATTATGTATGAATTTAATGTTTATGAAAACTGATAGACTGACAGCCTGGGAGGCTGAAATCCTCTGGGTTTGGGGCAGGCAGGAGAGGAGGCAAGAGTGCTGGGCAGTTTGCTCGTGCAGTGTAACCGCTGCCTCCGGAGGCATCGCCCACAGGGACTGAGACCACACCTCGAGTACTGTGTCCAGTTTTGGTCACCACAGTACAAGAAGGACATCGAGGTGCTGGAGCGGGTGCAGAGAAGGGCAACAAGGCTTGTGAGAGGTCTGGAAAACAGGCCCTGTGAAGAGCGGCTGAGGGAACTGGGTTTGTTTAGTCTGGAGAACAGGAGGCTGAGAGGAGACCTTATTGCCCTCTGCAACTACCTAAAAGGAGGCTGTAGTGAGGCTGGTGCTGGTCTCTTCTCTCTAATTACTGATGACAGGACAAGGGGAAATGGCCTCAAGTTGCGTCAGGGTAAGTTTAGATTGGATATTCGGAGGAAGTTCTTTCCTGAACGAGTGGTGAGGCACTGGAACAGGCTGCCCAGGGAGGTGGTGGAGTCACCAACCCTGGAGGTGTTTAAAAAAAAAGGAGATCTAGCACTTGAGGCTGTGGTGTAGTGGTTAGGTGTGCTGGGATGGAGGTTGGACTAGATGATCTTCAGAGGTCCCTTCCAACCCCAAACATTCTGTGATTCTGTGACTGCGGTGGTTGTGCTCGGTCACCTTTGGTGTGACTCGCAGAGAGCACGTTGAGGGCTGGAGCGATCCCATCTCCTGACCCGGGGCTGGGCCTGCCAGTAATTGCACAGGGCGTGCAGGCTGCCCAGTGCTGACGGGATGGGATCTCCTGGAGGGAAACTGGCTTCAGCAGAGATCCTCATGGTTCAGCCTGGCTTGAAGAAGTTCATGATTTTTAAAAAACCAAATGACCGAACCCCACCCAGAATTTGGCAAAGATTCAGTTGTGAGTACCCTGCCTGCTGGGAAAGCTGACCTGGAACTGACATCCAAGTGGACACTGGGAGGAGCTGTCACAAATTTTGCCATCTCTCATGAGAAGAACTACGATCCTTTCCATTGTGCTTGGGTACCGAAATAGATGTGTGGTTTTGAACGCTGCTATGAATTATTCTTAGAATTCCAACCTTGGCTACAGCAGTGAAAGGAAAACAAAAAGAAATAGTGGAGAAGTGGTTTGCCCGGTTTTCTGAGGACTTTTGCCCTTACCTTCACCGTGCAAGGGAATCCGTGGCTTTCTAGGAGCAGCCTCAGGTACCCCAGTGAAGAGCTACGTCACGTGTGACAAACGTGGGGATGAAGAAACTCACTTTGGCTGGCTCGCTCTGCTGGAGTTACTGCTGCGAGCTGTTTAACGCCGAGATTTCTTTGTAGTGGTGCAGAACACTGACAGTGCGACTGCAGGCTGAGATGAGAATAAGATGTAGGGTTAAGCTCCTTTCTGCCTGGCTCTGTAGGTTGCAGAACTTGCCTAACATTTATAAAATACTTACCTAATGATCTGGTATATGGGCTACTTGAATTAATGATCCAGTGAATTTAAATACTGGTACTGAGCCTGGAAATTTGCATTCCAATGTATATGCTCTAGTTATTGCAAAGTGCAAGGTGGCATTCAGATTATTAAATTAAAAACATCAGGTGCTACTTTGTGTACTCCCCTGCCAAGTTCTGTAATTGGAACACCTATGACGTATAAAACTATGTAAGCGATGGAGTTCTGAGTGTTTCCGTTGTTTACTACTGCAGGTCGTACACCACTTCATTTTCCCTTTCTCATTCAGGTAGCCCTGAAATGGGAAATAATTATAATAATGTAAAAAACTTACCATAAAAATCAAATACGTACGGGTGATAACCTGCACCAAGCTTATTCTGTTGCTGAAGTACAACAGAGAGTGATAGCAGGAATTAAATTAAATGCTTGGACAGGTAATACTGTTGCAGCATTTCTGGTCCTGGGGAAATACTAAATTTTGCTTCATATAAAAATTGTAGTCGTGTGTTAGGCTCGTGTGTAATGTCCTTGGTTTTCAGTGCTCTGTAACAAGAAGGGTATCCTATTTTGTTGGAGGCTGAAAGACTCAGGTACCTCAAAAGTTTTTCGATGTAATTTCAGTTTTAATGTTGGCTGTCTAGTCCGTGCTGATCTGTGGAAAGGATCCAGACCCGTAATATCTTTATCTTGTGGTAGGAGATACAGACATTCTTCAAAAGCAGAGGAGGAGCGTGCTGCAAGATTAATCATAGATTTGTGTAATATAGCAAAAACAGTTTCTAACACTTGAGCATATTTTTAATTTCACAAGTAAATATGTTTCTGAAAAATCTTTTTTAACTACATAGGAGATCGTGGAAACAAGCTTGCAGACACGCGTACCAAAGAGATTGAAGTTCCTGATGTTTTTATTTTAATATCTTTAATAGTGTAGATACAAGCTAGAGAACTGTGATACTTAAAGATGATGTGGCCTATGACTTTTACTGTAAAAAAAATTACAGTTTTGAATAGCTTGCTTTGACTTACTGCTGTCAGTGGAAGGCTCAGGATTTTATTCATGGCAGTGTTAGTGAGTGATGGTGTTCTGGAAAGAAATTTCATTATGTGTGCGCTTCCTCTTGGAAAATCTACTGTAAACATCAGTCTTTGGAATATATTAGTGTCGTTATGTGGCAGCTTGTGTCTCCAAATCTTACTGTTTTTATCTGGAAGTCAAAATGTGATAAATAATATATTCTATAGCTAGCTGATCCCTCATCATTAAACACCATAAAATGACCCTATTGTATCGATACATATCAGTCTTTAGGCTAAGCATTCTAAAGTTCTGTTACGTTTTGCAGGTGAAACGGTGAATGCTGGAGATGCATTGTGTGAAATTGAGACCGACAAAGCGGTGATTACCATGGAGTCAAGTGACGATGGCGTGTTGGCCAAGATACTGGTAGGGATCCTGCCTTTCTGAAGAGAATGATACGACTTCTCTTCAGACTGATGTCTAGTATATTGCCTCAAAAGCTAGTTTAGACAGCTAAATTTCGTTCTGCTTAGCTTTCAGAGTAATGCACTTGCATTTCTAGTGAGAAATAATTTCTCTGTTTCATACACATCCTGGACTCGTGGAATGTGGTACATGATTCTGTATGTTTGATGGCTTTTCAGTTAATGTGGTTGAATTATGTTGGTTTATGTGTTTTGCACCTAACGAATGATGTCCCTGAAATATTGCAGTTTATGGTATCTCTTACTCTGAGTTAGAGAAAAATGAGTTACAGTCAGTTGGCATTTGGTGTTTTGGATGCCACTTCACTTGGGCTGCATGATCTCGGTGCTGGATTTTTTTGTGCTGGCTGTTGCAGATGGAACTTTATACAAGATAGGCTGGCCCAGAGGACAATATTTAGAATTACTTGCTGTATTCTTTAAATTAAATTGATTAGGCTTTATATAAAGAATGAGAATTGGGATGAATGAGTTCTCTGAAGATCATTTTCGAGTATTTGTGTGTATGTGCATGTTGAGCAGAGATAACGCTCAGTTCGGGCTCCTTGTTTGTATTTGGCTTCTGTGCCAAGATGGAAGTGATAACAACTGGACTACAGAGATCAGGATGAAGGACTCGGTTCTTAACCCTACATTGCTGTAGGTCTACTTGCAAGTCCTGTGCTATTCTTTACATTCTGTATTCCAAAAAGACAACTCAGTCAAATTTTCACATCTTCCGTTTCTAGTCATATCAGTCTAGACAGCGCAATGTGTAATTAATGTTCTCATTGCCTCAAATTTAGGTGGAAGAAGGAAGCAAAAATGTACGCTTGGGCGCATTAATTGGTCTGCTGGTGGAGGAGGGACAGGACTGGAAGCAAGTTGAAATACCGGCTGATGGCAGTGATCCATCTTCTGCAGCTCCACCAGCACCTGCACCTACCTCGGCTCCTGAAGGTCTTTCAGTTTCAACCCCTCCTCAAGTGCAACATCAACCTGGAAAACTGCAGTAGGTTTCTGTTCGCTGTGAAATGGAACTCTTATTTAGTTAGATCAGTGGAGCTGAAGCAGGAAGAATCTGTTGTTCCTTTCTACCTATTATTAAGATCTCAGTTTAAGAGAGCATTTCAAAATGTGTAGGGTAATAAAGCTTTCTAATCCTTTGTAAGTCAAATAAGTCAATTCAAACAAGTAGTTTTGGTAGAACAGCTTCTGTGTGTCTACTTTTATTCTGGCGCACAGGTGCTTTATAAGGATTCTAAGCTTAGATTAGGAAGAAACTGTATTTGTGTATGATGGACAATAATGCTTATGCATCAGATGCTCAGTTTACTGGTGACTTGTTTGCCGTTTCTTTTTTAGGAGAAAAAGCATGCAAATGGCACGCTATAAAACCCTTTCACCTGTGGGTTTATGTGCTCTGTGTTAGTTTTGTGTTAGTCTAAACATTGCAAATGTCTTGGAGGGGTTGTAAATTAATCCCAGAGTGTTAGTCAGGTGAAAGTAATCTATAAATCAGTGGGTTCTGTCACAGGATGGACCTTCTTCAGAGGTATCAGTCCTTATTTGGAGTGAATTGTGATAACACAAAAGCTGTAAAATTACAGTCTCTTAAAGAATAGGAAACTAATTTGCTTAACATGTGCTATGCAGACAGGTTGGTTGGGGTTATTTTGAGATTTTTTTAGTTTTCTGGGGGTTTTTTGGTTGTGGGCTGGGGGCTTTTGGTTTTTTTTTCTTTGTCTTTTTTTTTCTCCAGAACTTTATTACCTTTTCTATCTAGTTCGCTATGTTTACTTTTACTGTCATCATTTATACTCTTTTCACACATGTGGAAGACAACTTACCGAGCTCATTGCCCAAACGTCACCTGCAGTAGGAGGATGATCCAAGGAAAGGATCCTTGAAAGGATTAAGTCTGGTGTTTTGTTGTCAAAGAACATCACAAGTTCATCCATTTCACTGCAGTTTGTAAAGATCTATCAGTATCTTTGGAATCAAGTGGTCATTTATGGCATTTTGTTTTGGTGAGGGTTTATGGACAGTTCTGAAAACTCAATGAGGTGCAAATATTGTCTCCTTGAGAAATAACAAATTGGAGATTTTGTGGAAAGACTTGAAACCAAGTATTCTTTTATGAAAATGTTACTTCTTTTGTATCTAAGAATGCTGAAATCTCTTCTCTACGTCTTGGGGTTTTTTTCCCTCATTTCAGAAAGCAAGTCATCCTGAGGTGCACTGGATGTTCTGTAGCTACTGTGCTTTATAGCTGATTGCTGCTTAAGTTACTATTGACCATACCCCAAGAGGGCAGGTATAAGTTTCTTAGTATTATAGTGTATCTTAGGTGTATGCTGATTAAAATGCTTGTGTCTGGGAGGGCTTAATTTGTTTTCTAAAGCAGTTAACTGAGTAATGCGACTACGTCTGGACGGCTTCTGCTTTCTGAAGAAGTAGCCACTTCATTAAATCAATCTTATAAAACTGGAGCTAGGGCAAAGGGAATGTTATAATTGTATTGTGTAATTTCTCTTGATAGACATTAATTGAAATAAACTACTTAAAAAATAAGATTAACTTATTTTTGTCCTCATTTCTTTAGGGTTCGATTAAGTCCTGCCGCTCGCAATATTCTGGAGACGCACGGCCTAGACCCAAGCAATATTACGCCTTCTGGGCCTCGAGGAATCTTCACTAAAGAGTATGTAGATATTTCAGTAAAGCTACAACCTTATATTTGCTTATTTCTTCCTTTGCACCTAAAGCAATCTCCGTGAACTCAAAAGTCCGTTTATTTTATATAAAGCTGAGATTTTGTTCCTTTTTTTTCTGTCGGGGAATGGTTTACTTAGATTTGAAAAACTTGTTGCAAAGATATGAAAAATAGATTAAGAAATACTGTAAGAAGCCCTTAATAAAAAAAAAAAAGAAACCTCTATGACTTTTTGGATTTGTGTCCCATCTGAGCTGCTGTTGCATTTCCTGCAGCTCAGCCTGATGGTGGCTCTCAGCTCCCAGGCACCACTGCTGGCCGCCTTTGTGCATTTAAAGAATTTTGCTACTCAGAGATGTATGCAGAGCCAAAATAAAACAGTAGCGGCCTGTTTTCTTCAGCTCCTTTTCTTTGGGGAGTTCAGAGCTTTTGCCTCTTTCACTGAAGTTCAGTTTTGAAATCTGTCAGGATTTCATTTGTTCCCTTTTTTTATTGAGCTGGAGAGAGCAATCAAGTGTAATGGTAAGAAATCCAGCGTTCTGTTCTTCTCTGATCTTCATTCTTTCCCACGTGTTTGATTTCATGAATATTTTGTTTACAAACCTGTGGTCTATTATGACCAGGCTTCTAGTAGTTTACTTTTTGAGTTTTCTGGTGTAACGATTAGCGCTCTAGTCTTGGCATGAGTAACTTTAACACAGCTATAGTATCCAATGGAACAGCAAGTTATCAGAGATAATTTTTTCTTAATTATGTAAGTGTGATGGTAATTTAACTAGGCTACGGCAGGTGGGAACCCTCTGGGACTTTGCCCTCCCTAATTAACATTCCCAAGTTGTCAAGGAGATGTAGCAAAGAGAGAATTATCTAACAATCTTTTTTTTTTCCCCAAAAACTGCTTTCTTCCACATAAAAGATTCAACTTTGAAATGTCATTGTAAGATACAGACTGTCTAGGGTGTTTTACCCATTTGTCTGAAATTGTGTTGATCTTTCAGAATGACACGCTCTGCTATTATGTTCAGTTTGAAATGAAATGTTTGCAGATTTTGCTGATACAGGTATTTGAGGAAATATTTCTTTTGCTATCTTGAGATAAGTGTTAAAACATGTGCCAGGCTTTGTCTTCTTCAAATAGATGAGTGACTGATTCTTTGAGGGAGTGCTGTGAGATCACTTTTCGCTTTTAAATTCTGAGTTTCTGTATTGAACAGGACTCACGCTACCAGATGACAAGAAACAAGGAAAGGTAGTGAGCCATGTAAACAATCAAGATTCTTTCCCCCAAAATTTCTGTCTTCAGATTCAATTCACTGTAAAATTTTAACAGCAATAGGCGCTTTCATTTTCTCTGTCATAATATACTCCCTTAGTAGCCTGATACTTCATTTTAATTACGTATCTGTGCAAGGCTGAATTGCTATTGGATTCTTCCTGTTTGTTTTATGGAGTGGCAGTGTTGGGGTTTGTATTTTTAAGCAATATTCTCTGCTTTCTTGAGAAATATAGTAGAAAATTAACGTGCCAGTACAAAGTAACTCACAACTTCTATCAAAGCTTGCATCGCGCTCCTAGTCATGAGCTTGAGTGCTGTGCTTAGGAAAGCTCTCTTAAAGTTGGTGACTGTTCCAGTGCCCTTTCTCATCCTATTTACTAGTGATCTAGAGATTTATCATGATCTTCCCAGGCACCGAGGTGAGGCTGATCGTGGAACACATCCTCCTAGAGTCTCTTCTAAGGCATGTGGAGGACAGGGAGGTGATATTTTGGCAATACATTTTTCAGTTAAGGCACTACAAGCCACCCAAATTATTAAAGAATTTTGATGTGGCTAGGACAGGTAGGACCATCTGGGGTTTTTGTCACTTGCTTAATATGTGGAAGTGATTTCAGAGCATTTCCTTAGCTTTACAATGTACATAAGAACCTATAAAAGCTTTATTTTATGTATTATGGAATATAATGAGCAGATGGTCTGACTTAATGACTGCCGAGTTAAAGCCCCTAAGTAATTTTTCTTACCTTCTAATATGTTGACGAGGAAGGTTGTGTTATGTTATGCAGTTACTTTTTTGCATGTGTATGTCTCAGATTGTTATACTTGGAAATGGTTTTTAATGAATTTTAAATTTTTCCCTGATACAGCAGTTATGTTAAGTACTAATCCCTTATTTTTAAAGCAATTTTGGCTAACATATTAATTTGAGAAAACAAGCAACAACTTTAATAATGACAAATTTACACCCTGAGCTCAGTCTTTTTCTTATTTTAGTATCATTTGCTGAAGCATGCACTGAAGCTAAAAATAAATTGAAGCAAGTCAGCAATCAGTGGCAGCCGTTAAATAGCACATACAGAGCTGTTTGGTTTTCCGTTCTTGGTTCGGGAGTGCTACTTTGTTAGGAAGAGCTGAGGACACATAATGTTGTGCTGAGATTTTTGTGCTTTCTACAGAAATTTAATAACACAAACTATTGACTAACACTCAAGCAGTAATCCAATGAAATTAGGTAACTTTGCTATTTAGTGCTTACGACTTATGTTTCAAAGGCCTGGTATGGCTGCGAGTCCTCTGATTTCTGCATTTGTTTGCGATTTCCTCTGCCAGTTTGTGTACTAAAACCTTGGGTACATAAGCCTGCTGTGGTGATGTCTTCAGGAGGTGACAGAGATTTATCTAGGGGGTGTGATACAGACTCCTGTTATCAGATCTTCTCTCTTTGTGCTCCAGATCTCTGTCTGATACAGCTCTTTGAGCAATTTTACCACAGCTTTATTTCCCCTGCAGTTGGCAGCGGTGGCACAGACACGCCCTTTTCGGTTTAGCCTTGTAGGTGCTAATGTTTAGCGTGTTGCTTGATGAATGCACCCAGGCTGGGGGAACGGAGTTGACCTGTGCCTGTCACAGTGTACCCACAGGAGGACAGGTTAGTGGCGATAGCAGGCAGGGTTCAGCCCCACGTGGGACTGCGAGGTGTTCCTCCAGTTGTGGTTTTGGTTCTTGAGTGTGGTGTTCTCTTTCAAGTTGCCCGTTAAGACTCGGATACTATCTGCACTTGTCTGTGTCGGAAGGATACAGAGAAATGGATGATAAATGTACGACTCAGTTTTCTGTAAGCACTAATTAATTATTTTGAATTCATGATTACCAATATAGAGCAGATGAGACTTAATAACGCGAGTAAGTGTACTCTGATCTCATTTACAAGAATTGTTAGTGCACTTCACAAATTACCTTGTACACTCACAATTATTGATGATGAATGTTATGCCTCTCTAACACAAATGTTTTCTGTTACTGTATATTCAAGCCCTTTTATTCACAGAATTTAATGAGAATTTACTAAAAAGATAGCACAAAAGAGCCACAAGGTTCATATCAGTTAGTAACAATTTCCTTGACGTTTGGTTTGGCAACAGAAATTTCAATGCTCAGAAGTGCCTAAATAATTAATTAAAATAAAAAACTGTGGAATAGCAATACTTTGGGAATTTTTGACATAGCTTCTTTGTTTGCCAATATTTCACTGTGCTTAATCACCAGGGATGCTCTTAAACTTCTGCAAGAGAAGCAGAAGGGCAAACCCAGCGAACTGAAACCTGTGGTTTCTCCAGCTCCTCCCCAGCCCGCTGCAGTGCCTTCTGCTTCGCAACCTGTGACTTCTGCTTATCCACGGCCGGCAGTTCCACCAGTTTCCATACCAGGACAACCCGCTGCACTGGTAACACTCCTGTTAAGTCCGCAACGTTGCCACAGCTAAATAATGCTGTGGCTGCTTAAGTAGCCAAGTGAGATTTGTAGAAGGAAACTGAGGCCACCCAGATGGCAAGCCCGGTCTTCAGTTTGTTTGCCAAGTTGTGACTTTTACTTGCAAATTTTAAGAATGCTTGAGCGATTCTACAGCAGGGTAGTTCCGACTGCAGAGCTCTCCAAGTTCTGGCCTGCACACTAGTACTTTGGGTAACTTGCAGCCTGAAATCATGAGGAAGTGTACGTTGCAGACCTTGGCAAGGGGAACATCAGAGAGGTAGTGGTTTTCCTTCAGTCCCCAAACAAAAGATGCCACTAGTTTGGAAATCACCAATACACCCTTTCCCTCAGCCCCTGCAGGGTCGGCTTGTCAGCAGGTATTTACAGATTTGGAGGAACTTGAATTCTGGCTGATTTTTACTGTTCTTCATTTGCTTTCTTTTCTGCAGTATAAGTATATGTAAACATCCATTGTCAAGAAGCAAGGAAAGAAAGGGCTTAGTTGTTGCTTTGAAGAGTAATTTTGCAAACTGTAGCACCTAAATCAAGTTTCCACGTTAATCTGAAACGTTAGAAGCGTGAAAAATTATTTTTTAAGGAATCAGTGGCCATGTTGAAATGCATATTAGTAGGAATTGAAAAGCTTTTGCGAAAAATGGCGGGGAAAAGCCTTTCTGTCTCAAATGAAATTTGAAGTATCTTTGTAGGCCGACCTTTACATTGTAGCTGCAATTCATAATATTCAGAAAATGCTGTGGTTTTTTCTCTGTCCAAAGAACCAAATAAAGCACAGAAAGCTCAAACTTAGATATTTTTCCATTGCAGAAGGAAGTGTTTCTGTGATTGCAATTTATTGTGTTGAGAACTACTCAGTGTGCAGTATATGTGGTATAGGTGAGGTACACCAAAGAACCTATTACAGAATTGCGTATTTTCTTGGCTTTCTATAGTCACCGGTGTTTCACGAGAATCCTTGAAAGCCGACTTGCTTCTCTGAAGAAGTTGGGAAAGCTACATCATTGAAATACTGCATGTACATAGAAATAGAGAGAAGAGTGGGAAACCCCCCAAACAATGTGCAATAAAACCCTTCTTAAGGAACCACTCAGGGAACTGAAAAAGCAGTAGCTTAGTTGAGAAAATATTCTGTTATAATTTAAATGAAACAAAGCACGTTCTGATTAATACGACAGGTCTGGTGGATGGAACCCTGGCTAAGAATCAGTGCCTGAATATTTGGAAATATTTTTTAAGCAGTCTGCTAGAATAGTAGGATTCATTCTATAATGCAGAGTGTAGCTATCTTGATAAAATGTGTTGTGTTGATCTGGGTGAAGTAGGCTAGAAAACTCAATGGTCCTAATCCTGTTAGTGTCCTTAGTTGGAATGTGTTGCTTTCTGATATCTAAGGGGTGTTTGAAGTGAGCTGGAATCACTAATGGTAACGCGTCAGTGCTGGAGTTCTTTTTTTTTTTCAGCAAAGAGCAAGCATGTCTGCTCTCTCAATATTTAATATGCAGCGTGTGATTTCTTCCAGGGCACGTTCACAGAAATCCCAGCTAGCAACATCCGAAGAGTTATTGCTAAGAGATTAACGGAGTCTAAAGCTACTATACCTCATGCGTATGCTGCTGCGGACTGTGACATTGATGCTGTTTTGAAATTAAGGAAAGAGTTGGCCAAAGGTTAGTGATTGAACAAAGGTTACTGATTGACGGTGCTATGGTACTAATGCATAGTTTGCCTGGCTTACATAACAGTGCCCAGGAGGTGTAGGGTTTTTGTGTAGACAGAACATTATGCATTAAAGTACCCTTTTCTGGTGTTCTGTGTGTTGGACTCAAGCCGTAATGTCCTGTGATTATTGAGTTGGACAGCTGACCAAAGTACGGGAAGACAGACGTGTTACTCTACCAACTAACACAACACCGTATAGGTGGCTGCAACACAGCGTTATGCAGTGTCTTGTGGGGTTTTGTTTCCTTCCCTCCAGATGCAGCAATATTTAGCTTCTTGATGGTTAAAATCTCAAATCATTCATGTGAAGGATAATAGGGGAAACTTAAATTAAAATGCACGCATGCTCTGTCTTTCTAGGTTCAATGTTAAAATGTAGTTTTGCGAGCCTCTGTTGAATTTGCTCTAAATGGAAAGCTAATGTCGCCTCTCAAATTCTGAGTAGGAATGGCTTTAGCCGTGGCCAGGGAAGAAGGTGTGTTTTTAGCGCACACCAGCCAAGGCATGTGTCAAGGATTAGCCAGCCGTTAACCAAATGACAGATGCTCTGGAATAACTCCTCTTCCCTCCCAAAGGGGAAGAGAAAGGAAATAAAGCAGAGAGACTTGGGGATTGGAAAAGAAAACTAAAATAGCTTTAATAAGATTAGTACTAGTAAGAAAGCAATGAAAGTCATGGAAGTAATGAGCAGGTGGCACCAGGGAAGTGCCCGGCTCAGTGGCTGTGGGGAATTGGATGCAGGAGCTGAATTTTGGAAAACATGGGTCGTGATTGAGGGTAGGAGAATGGACGGAGTCCTCCTGGGGCACCGGCTGTTGAAGAGGAGGGCTTAACCCCGCCATCCGTCCTGTTCACGGTGTATGTGAACAGAACGTTTGGTCAGGTTCTGCTCTTCGGTCATGCCCTGGAGGGGCAACTTTTGACTTTATGGCACCCCCAGCGTGGGGGGCTGGATTTCGCAGTGACCTTCTTTACTGCAGGAACAAGTATACCCAAGAGCCTTTCTGCATCCCATGCTGGGTCAGAGCTGTAAACGTAGAGCATTATTATTTCTAAAAGCGTCACTGTTTGCAAAAATTTGCTTCCAGCTTCAAAGTGCTGTCACTTAGAAGAGACTGAGCTAAAGAGTAAAATCACTGAACAGAACTGATTCTGGGCTAGCTCAAACCAGGACCGTGACTTAGAAAAAGTTCTTGAAGTTTAAGGTCATAATCAAAGCTTTGATTGATTTTTTTTAAAACTGTTTTTGTTTTTGCTAAAGTCAGCTGAGCAAACTGTGCAATAGGATCTTTTAGTATTTTCAAAATTAATGATGCAAACTAGAACCTTCTTTCACAAATGTCAGGTCAACAAAGTGTGTGGGGTGCGCATTTAAAAGAAACAGGAAGGTTTTTCACAGAGCACTCTTCAGGCAGGTACTTTGTTTTAATGCAAAGTATCACAAAAGTTTTGCACTCCTGTATTTTTACTGTGTTCCTGCCCCCCTAGTTGGCAGTGACACTTTTGCAAAGGGTTAAGAATGTAATATGTAAATCAAAATAGAAAATAACAAAATATATTCGATGACCAATATACAGGCTTTTCTGATGTGAAATTCCGTCAGTGTGACACAGCACTTACAAATGCCATTGTGTTATATGAGACTTCTGTCTCTCTTGTGCCGCAGCTGGCTAATCATGGCAAATGGTACAGGTCCGTCAGGTGCTAAGGGCATGGTTGGTTCATTCGTCCAAATTTATGACCACTTAGGAAGATTTCACTTAGTATAATTATCTATACATAATTTTCACTTTACAAATCATTTCTGAAGGTCTGTGTATTACGTGCTGTAAACCAGCCTTAGAGGTGAAGTCGTTTTTTCTTCTTGATCTGTTTAGCTGATAGCAGCGCTGATGGTAGCAAGTAACGTGGCTTTTGTTCGTTTGTTTGCGAGAATGATGCATTTAATATTTTATAAATATCGTGCATCTTCAAGGTAATCTTGTAGCAACTGTGGTATATTGTGCATTGTATCTGTAGTCTTTGCTTCTGCTCTCAGTCCTGGTTTTAGTACTGTAAGTCTCCTAAAACTTGGAAAAAAACAATGCAGAGCTTATATAGTCATCATTTCCACCCCTCCTTTCTCCTGAGCTTTTAGGGAAAAGCAGCGAATGTAGTAGGTGTACACAGCATTCCTTGGGCTCGGATTGAAAATATCTAGTCCTCTCAAGATTATTTTACCTGCTTCTGGCTAATGCTCCCTTTTTTGTGTGTTGCTTGGCTTTGCATTTAACAACTTGGACTTGTACGTATTGTTTTGCAGCCTGCTTTAGAATATATTGTTAACCCGTTTTAAGGATCCACAGTTGCCTTCACCTTGTTTTTACTATACAAGTCCCCAAAGGTCACCGGAGAGTGACATATTTCTGATTTATAGCTGAATAAAAGCTATTACCTGCAATTACTCCAGTTAATTCAGGACACGACATAAAAAGTCGTAGTCTCAAGTGTTGTCTCTGCGTTTAGATCCTACAGGAGGTTTCTGCAGAGGCAGTAAATATGTTTAGCAGTAAATATGTTTAGTGCAAAGCACATAGGGGCTGCTGCTTCTATGAGTGAGTAATATTTCTTAAGTTTGCAGCTCTTTTCGCCTTCTAGCTGGCTTTCACTTGCAACTGGTGAGAATGTCTCTGCTCAGGAGACCTTTTCTTGACAATACTCTTTTCCTCCCAAGGGGGAGAAGAGTTTTCTTGCTCTTTATGATTGTAGTTTGCAGATGAGTAACTTTCTGGCAATGTTTTAAAGGAACAAATCTGCTGAATCACTGGAATCTTGTCATCACACAAATGCTGTTAAACAAACTTTATGAGCAGTGTTTGGTTTTGTGTTTTGTTTTTTCTTTTTGCAGATGACATTAAAGTATCTGTAAATGATTTTATTATCAAGGCAACTGCAGTTACTCTGAAGGTGAGTAACTGACTTTTTTAAAAAAAATGTTTTATAGTAAACTACCGAGGAGACACGGTACGTATTTTGTGAGCCTAAATGAAGACATGAATGTGATCTTATAATTCTTTATCACTTATTGTCAGGACTCTTTTAAGCTCTCCAGGAGAAATTCTCTACACTGCCTAATTATTATGTACGCTTATTCTTAGACCCTCACAGTGATTTTTTTCCTTTGTCTTGCTTGTGGCAGTCCAGATGACAGATGCGACCTGCTCCTTTGCCTTCAATTACCGACAGCAATCTGTGGTGCGCTATTTAATTTGGTGAATGCCCGTGTGTAGCTTTGTGACTTAAAGGAGTTTCCTTTTCCTTGATAATTGATTGTACCATTGTTCTTTTAACAGCTGTCATCTTTCGCTCTTTCTCTCCTAGCAACTGCCAGATGTGAACGCAACCTGGGACGGGGAAGTCTGCAGGCAGCTGCAGTCCATTGACATTTCTATTGCTGTGGCAACAGACCGAGGTCTCATTACACCCATCATAAAAGATGTTGCTGCCAAGGGAATAAAGGAAATTGCTGCCTCTGCAAAGGTATGTCTTAAATGCCCAGTAGGCTGACGAATACAGTGGCTGTGTAGCAGAAAATATAGCATGACCCAGATACACACCACTAGTAACAAAGGCAATTTCAGAATGGATCTAAAGGAATTTCAGCATTCCTTAGACTTCAAAATTATTATTAATTTTGCAACTCGCTTCATTTTTAATTTACATTAACTTAACCATCGTGTTGTTTAGTTGGAACAACATCGAATAAAATCCAGAAAGAGAGTGGAAAATTCCTCAAAAACAGAGCGTTGAGAAAGTGTCACAGATGTGATATATTGTTTTTTTTGTCTTATAATAGATTTGTATGATTTTTATTCACTTCCACCAAAATTTCCCTAACATAATTAAATTATTGGAAACTATCAGTAGATTTTTATTATTTTTAACAGAAGAGGGGAAAATGTAAACAGACTGTATTGCTTTTATCCGTTTTCCCAGAAGCAGATCTGAGTCTGTTTCCCTGACTGTTTTTGGAAATGGGTATTTTTGCCTTAAAATGTTGTAATGCTGCAATTGTCACAGTGTGACATTTTCCATGTGCTTTCCCACCTGTGGACTAAATATGGTATAAGCTGAAAGCTGGAAGAAGTACGTTCAACCTGCTAAAACGTTCTGAAGTGGCTGTTTCTTCAAATACATTGAGAAGAATACTGTGAATTTCTCGTCAGTATTTGGCTAGATATTTTTGTCTTCTAAAAACACCAGGGAGAGTGGTGGTTCCAGTGGGAAAATTATGTTTGTAAGGTGAGAGAACGGCCAAAAAAGTTTTGCATTCCAGCCTCGCTGCCGAATCATTGCAGCTACAACGTTGCTGGTGTGCTTCCCTAACTGTAGAGGTAGATGGCTTTCTAATGGGTGTACAGTACTTACAATGTATTAATAAGTAAAAAGAATTAGCTTATTACAACACTTTCTTTCCTCTCTCCTCTTTTTTTCTTTCGTTTTTCCTTAGGCTCTAGCGAAGAAAGCAAGAGATGGAAAACTGTTACCAGAAGAGTACCAGGGAGGATCTTTTAGGTAAAATTCTCTAGCAGGGTTCAGTACACACAGTATGGCTTCAGAACTGTTTGACACTCAGCTGTTCCACTGTGTGTTCATATATTGTGTTTAAAAATCTTGCTTTATTTTGGATGAAACTTCATGTGATGTTTCTGAGGGCCAAACCCAGGCTGAATGTCCTGTGTCAGGTGGAAACAGTTGTCTTAGTACAGGGTTATTTCATGTAAGCCACCTGTGTAATTCCTGGGTTTTCATACAGAGACTGATTACATTTTGATTTTTGCTTTTATTTTGTGGGGATTTTTCCCAATTGCAGAAGAATGTTTTGTTGGGGTTTTAAATTGCATTTTATTGTTAGGAAAACCTATTGATAGTAGTTTTAAACTAAATATTTTTAAAAGAATTGTTTGGCAGAGGTATTGCTGCAGGCAGTGATGTTCAGTTTGTCTTCAGTTTACTTTTCAGAGGAATGTTTCTGGAGGGGCAAAAAAGAGTAAGAGTGAGTTGTGGTGTTAACTCTTATAGCTTACTTGGACACGTTGCAAACTGAGTAGATCAGTTTTAAGTAGTAGCGTCTATTTAGTAAATACTTCTATGAAGTATTCTCTGCAAAAAGAGCTAGTGAATTTGATGAGAGTTCAATGGCATGTGTAAAGCAGTAGCGTAAATTTAGTGACACAGTTGCACAGTTAATTTGTTTCTCAGCGGCCTACTTACACTCCTCAAGTTTCTAACACCTTAAATATGCTGTATTTGGTGACACAGTAACATCAAGCAGCATTTTTTGTTATGTAAACTTCAGATTATACTGCTTTTTGTCAGTTTCTAAAAACTAATTCAGAGGTGTTGCTATGGTCAGGAAAGTCAATCTCCACGTATCATGGCCTTGTCTGTGACAAAGAAAAGAGACATTATAGTTGTAGGTACTCACAACTCCAACTGTTCTATGATTCTATACAGATTAATCTTTTTTCCACTCTGCAGTAACTGTAACAAAAAGGAGATTGAGCTTTCTCTATAGACAATGTGTCACAGAAGAGTCCAAGCCTTTCCCAATACCCCCTTCCCCGCTGATGGCCCAGACAAACGTTCAAGGGAGAAAGGTGTGATGAAGCTTTCCTGTGCCTCAGAGAGCTCGAGATGCCCAGATTGTGTTCCTTGGTTGTCAGCAGCAATCGTAACTTAATTGGTGAGCTTCAGTCTGAAAGACTTGGCTTGGTGCAGGGACAGGCAAAGTTTATTTGAAGATACCACTTTACTCTCCTACTTTCTGCCTTCGTGTGTGCAATGCAAGGATATATTACTGTAGAGAAATGGGACTTTTTTAAGGTGTAAAATTCCCAAACCCTTGAGTCCCTGAATATACCCAGCTGAAATCCAGTTCAGATCTATTTTAAAGTTAATGAGTTTAGCACTGGGACAGAATTAGGTCATGGTAGTCATTGAATATAGATCATTTCTTCTAGGGGACGTGTAATTCCTTACATTACTGGTAACTCTTTTTTTTTTTCATGTAGCATCTCCAATCTGGGCATGTTTGGCATCACTGACTTCACTGCAGTCATAAACCCTCCCCAGGCCTGCATCCTCGCTGTGGGCCGAGCAAGACCAGAGCTCAAGATTGTGGAAGATGAAGAAGGGAATGAGAAACTTAAGCAGCATCAGCTCATGACGGTGACTCTTTCAAGTGATGGTCGGGTGGTAGATGATGAACTGGCCTCAAAGTTTCTAGAGACCTTGAAAGCCAACATAGAGAATCCAATGCGACTTGCCTTGTGTTAAACTCTGTTTTCTTGTTTTTACAGCTTAGATAACTGTTACGTTGTTTGGGTTGTTTTTCTGTATAGAGGAGTAAGTAGTTACTGTGAAATGGACAATTAAAATATTTAATTTATTGAATTAACATGATAAACTGTTGGTTTAGTCTTTTGCAATGACCAGGTTTTATACTGTAAAGCTAAAAGACTTCAAAGGTAACATTCTACGTTTCTTTAAACACTTAGTACTAGTGGTACGTAATGTTTGCATGGAGAAGTAAATCTCCTCTGTAAAGGAAAGTTCAAGAAAACTTCATGAAATTTAAAGGGGAATAATAGAATTATAAAATGTGTTGGGCTGGAAGGGAGCTTTAAAGGTCATCTAGTCCAACTACCCTGCAGTGAGCAGGGACATCTTCAGCTCGATCCAGTTGCTCAGAGCCCAGTCCAACCTGACCCTGAATGCTTCCAGGGACGGCGCATCTGCCACCTCTCTGGGCAGCCTGTTTCACCAAGCTTATTGTACAAAATTCCTTCCTCGTATATAGTTGAAATCTACCGTCCTTTAGTTGGAAACCATTACCCTTTGTCCTCTTGCAACAGGCCTTATTAAAAACTTTGTCCCATCTTCCTTGTAAGCCCCCTTGAAGTACTTGAAGGCTTGCACTAACACCTGCTTGTAGCCCTTTCTTCTCTGTGCTCAAAGACCCCAACTCTCTCAGCCTTTCTTTATAGAAGAGGTGCTCATCCCTGTGATAATTATGTTATTAATTGAGCCTCCTCTGGACCCACTCAAGCAGGTTCATGTCTTTCTTGTGCTGAAGACTCCAGAGCTCAGTGCAGTATTCCAGGTGGAATCTTCCCAGGTGCTGAGATGGGTTGCTTTATTTCAGGACTAAGTCTCTAGCCTTTGGAGCGTGGAAAGCAAGAATCATAACTGGGTAGCTAAATTACATTGCTGCAGTGGAAAGCTTTTCGGTTTACAGAAGACTTGTTGTGTCATCCAAATTAGATTGAAGGAAGGTTTGTAAGATTTTTGACGGATTTGTCAATGGCTTCTCTACATAAAACCAAAGTCATTACAAACCGGAAAAGTTTTTGGTTTAATTTCATTTACATCACAGATTTAACTGTTCTTTATCATTTCTCCTTTGGTATAAGCTACAGTGAAGAAAACAAGATGACTGTGGAGATGAATGAGGAAAAGAAATGACAGGAAGTTCTGAGACTAAATTAGATCATGGATAGAAAAAGCAATTTCTCAAAATCTGAAGTACTGTGGTGAAATCCACAGTTTCTTTCATGTAACTAGAACTCATGCCAATGCATTTAAACTGTAGATGCATCTGGTTTTTTCCAGTATTTAAAGGTAACTGCGTAAACTCATGCCTTACGAAAGAATGGAGAGAAGAATAAACTTGTCTGAATAAACACATTCTCCATAAAGGATGGAATCTCAGTGTCGTTGATTTGGTTTTGATGGAACCAACATTTAGTGAAAAAACATGTTGTGTAAAAAATGAATTAATAGTAGGGTTTTCTTGACTTAATTTGGAGAGAATTGCATTTATTTTTAAATTCAGAAGTTGTCCCAACTCAGGTATCTCCTTCAGTACCACAAAATATTAAAATACATTTTTCAGATGCTCTGTGATAGATTATGGTTAACTTAATCAACAAGTTAATTGTGCCAGCAGTATTGTGATGAAAAACTGTGATCTCTTAATCTCATAGAAGTTTGAAAGGTCAACTTTTGCACACTGAATGTTTGCTGATTAATGGTCCTCTTTGCATGGATAGAATAAAGATATAAGTAGAAAGTGTTTCATCATCAGTATATATTGAATTGTAACTTTGGAGGCTTATGTGCAGGGGCCTGAAATTTAACAGTATTAGATTTTTTTTTTCTTATATGTAATAGGGAACCATGTATTTAAAGTGTTTATAATGAAACAGCTCCATTTACAGCACTTGATGAGAATGTGAATTGTCAGTAGATTTCTGGGAGCTTGTCTTATTCTAGTTTGTGCAAGTACTTTTTTTTAAGGATTTGGATAACGACTTTATTGAGCTGCTGCCATAATTAAAAACCTTCAGTTAATACTGAGTTGGGAGTTTTTGCTAAATGAGTGTGCTGCTTTGGCTTGTTCTGGTATCATAAATTTCAGAAACGATCTGAGAGTAGAGAGAGATTTTGAATACCAGATCTGGATTCCTGTGCCGTGATGGGCATATCCATTCTGTGTTTCCAGGAGTTTGTCCCGTATAACTTGGAAGGCAAAAAAACCTCGCCAGTTGATATGTTGTCCTTAGTAGTGTACAAGAAGTTCTCACTGCGTGACTGAGAGTGTGACCGTAGTTTTGTGCGTTTGGAGCCACTGGAAGGTGCTGTTGTATGTGAGGATGGAAGGTTTATCCGCTCGCTCACGCAGGCACTCACACATGCGTTACACTCGCCCTGTTCAGCACAGGCAGGTGAAGACAATGCAGCTTTTTCTGCAGGTTAAATGGACTTTTCTTGCTTTTGAGCTAGGTGAATCTCAGCCAGGCTGGCACAAGCTGTGCTGACAGGAGCTTTACAGCTGCCTGCTCGCCGGCGTGGGACATAAAGGTGGAGGTCTGTGGTTTGAGAGTTGTGAAAGAAATCTCTGGAATTCCCATGTGTGGTCACAGTCAGGTCTCCTTCATTCAGAGTAATTGTTCCGTGTGGCAACATCTACTGCTTTAGCAGAAATGAGACAGCAAATAGTGGCCAGTACAGATTACAGTAAAACACTGAATATCTTCTGTAGGAATTTAGGACTTTGGGGGTGGGGGCGATGGATAAAATGGCCCAAAAAGTGAACCATGTGAAATGACTGTGCTTATATTTGAAGCAAATTTGCCTTGAAGTAAAAATTTTGCAAATGAAAAATAGAACTTGCCGTGTTTTATTCTTTCAAATGTCTTCCGTCAACATTTTTTTTTTTTTTTTACATTCCCAAGCAGGGAAAATCTGGAAGACATTTACTTTCTTGAAGAATTAAAATGAATAAATAACACTGTATGCTTGGGGAAAACTGCTTTCTTTGTGTTGTTTTCCTTTGCAAGAGGTAAAGTTGAAAAAAAAATAAAGGGTTGCTATTTTAGACTTGATCAAGTATTACACTGTGTCACACTTTAGTCCTTAATTACACTGTCAGAATATTTGACTTTTAGGTCTTTTTTCCTGCGATGTATTTCTTATGAAATAACATTTCTGCAATGCCTGCTTGTAATTCCTGAAAGAACCTCATTCCTGCAAAGTGAATGCTCAGTGCTATTTTCACCTAATCCTTCTGCCCACATGCTTATCTCCGCCCAGACTAAAGAAATCTCATTTAAGGTAACAATCAGTCTCATTGGATACAACAGATTTTTGAAGTTTAGTAGGAAGCCGTAGATAAGACAAATAAACCAGGAAGTAAACTCTGAACCCATGCTTTTATGTGCTGTATTGTGCAGAAAGTTGTGTATTTATCACATCAAAGTACACACAATTGCGGAGGGAGTTGGGGGAAGCCGACTGAGAGTTGTTGGAACCAAGTGCGGTGCTTGATGTGTTTTTTAGATGCAAGAGTTTGTGCCGTGTAAGGTGATGGAAGAGAAAGAAAAAGCTGTCATTGGGACTGACCGTGTAATAGTCATAGGGCTGTGTCCCCTAGGTTTGAAACTGATCCTTTTTTTTTTTTTTTTTTACTTTTGTCCCAGATGTTGCCCAATAGAGGCACCACACGTTCTTGTATGACTTCTCCTTCCAGTGAGTTTTTGTCCTTTATTGCATCAGACCGTAACAAATACTTTTCCTTCCCTGAAACGTTGTTCATTATTGTAATTCCATTGAGAGCAGTGGAAATTAAGCACATAGTAAATAATAGTTACACAATGACCAGTGCCAATGGGGAAGGCTTAATTTCTATAATTTGTGCTTTAGACTTCTATGTAGAAGAATTTTGCTCTCAGAGGTGAACAATGTAGCATTTTTTCACAGCCACTATGCTTCAGCGATACGAAAAGCTGTAGCACAGAAATCTGTAATAGATTAAAATAGAAAAACTGATCAGTTCAAAGTATCTTTCAGTATGTCATTACTTGTGATTTCTTTGTAGTCGTGCTTGAGGGAAAGCAGGAGGACGTTCACAAGACGCTGCTGGAGGTTCGTAGAAGCATGTTAACCAGTAAGTGTTCCAAGAAACACAGAAACTTAGGATTTGGGTGAAGACCCGTGTGTTGATTAAACTGGGGTGCAAATAATTTATTGAAATCCTGACTGGCTACTTTGGTCACTCTGTAAAATCTCCGTAACCCGGATCAGTGAAAAGCCATTACTGTTCACTTGAATTCAGTCTTTTCCTTTGATGTCAGTTTTGCTTTGACTTCTAGGTATCACAGTGAAAAATTGTTCAGATACAATAACCACATTGTTCTTTCCTCTCTCCGCAACAGTTGTCCTACCTGGCAAGTTAAACATTTGTGTCATGAGAAAGAACTAACTGGAAAATGATGGCCTTTTCTGTTTGTTCATTATCTGGACTAAGGAAAATGATTCACGCTATGTTAACGAATGTCACCGTTTAATTATCTCTAATCCCTCAGGATTAGAGATCAAGAGAAGGTTCTTTACCTTGAAATTTCCTCTCGTGTGGCCCAGACCTAAATAGGAAGAAAGGACCTCCGGGAACATTTTTATTTCAGCCCACTGTTGTATGAAGAATTGTTAGTGCAGCAGATCTTTTCTCCTGCACTGCTGTGATGTTCACGCTGTCTGTGCAGAAGTCTTCAGAGCGTGCTGTCCACGGCGCTTTGCGGGGATCCGTGCAGTTGAGCCTTGTAGGATACTCCCTGTTGATCTAGTCAGCAACCAATTCCTGTGTCAGCTGCCGAACTTAGGAAAATAGGAGTAACTGCGTATCATTTTGCAATTCCAGTGCACTGAAACTTCTTCCCTCACAAATAAATTCTAAGCTTAAATATCCACGGAGACTGTTGGCTTGTGCAGGTGCTGGTGTTTGCTGTGCCACGTCCCAGTCTCCATTAGCAGCATGCACCGAGTTTCTCAAGGTTTCAGCAGCGAGCGTCATGCTGTCTCCTATTCCTTGCAAGGAAGGTAGAAACTCTGACAGTTGCCTTGATTGATCAGAAAAGAAACTCGTCTTATACTC